AGAGTTCAAGAAGCAGGCCGAAGCGAAGCACTGGACGATCCAAGCAGTTGGTGGCCAGAAGAAGTGGAGGTACATGAAGTGGGAGATCGCCGAGGCGCTCTTCAAGGGTCGCTGGGCCAACCCGAATGCCTACGAGGTGTGCGCGAGGAGCTACAACTTCCTGACGAAGACCTTCCACCCCGACGATGCCAAGCACCCCTACCTGAACACCCCGAGCCCATATGCTGGGAAGAGCTTGTGGGACGAGCTGCAGCACAAGACTTCCATCTATGCCGACTTCAGCAAGATGCCAGCCTCGCAGATGGTGAATGTCTTCCAGGTAGCTGCCGACGTTTTCAGGCTCATCAAGGCCGAGATTGGTTTCATGGTGGATATCGTCATGTTGACCATCCCGAGGGTTGTCGAAGCCGACAGTGGAGGTGGTGGTTCGGTGGTTTCTGGTGGTGGCTGGGGTGCGTGCCAGCTTTGTCCAACGTCCCTGCCATTGCTGAAGAGTATCTCCGACGAGGGCCTCAAGTCGCTCGAGCAGCCGATGGGCGCGAACTCGGGCGTGCAGGTGGAGGTGACCAAGAGAAAGCTTCTGGAGGCGGCCAAAGCGAACAGAGCCAAGGCGAAGTCGGCGAAAGGCAAGAAACGGAAGGCTGGGGATCTCGAGAACAATATGGAGGAGATGTCGGTGGTCCCCAAGGGGGCGAATGAGGCTGACTCCATCGAGCCCGAGGTGTGCGAGCAGCAAACCTTCGCCATGCACCTTCGCGAGCAGTTCGCCTACTTGACGAAGCTGGACATGAGTGGGAGGCAGAAGATCAAGATCAGCACCTTCTACACCATCGCGCTCTATGGTGTATGTTCGCAGTCGGTCCCCCTCTTCATCAACAAGAAGGCCAAGCAGATCTGCGAGTGGTCGAAGTTGAGGGTTGCCTTCAAGACTATCATCTACAAGTCCAGCAGGCTGCAGGTCAGGCCCAGCGACCAGGACCACATGGACATCATGAAGGACATCGAGGAGGCCACCGATGACCCCACTACCTTGGATGCGATCGCGAACGAGACCATCCAGGCGAACATGGAAACCTTCAAGGGTATCGCTGACTGCATCGCTTCGTTCCTGGAGTCGGCGAGGCCTGAGACAGTGCCAGTCGTGGCATCGGTCCATGCTGGGAAGGTCATGAACTCTGCCATGCTCGCCTTGCTGCAGAAAGTGACCAATACCGGTGGCTTCTTCGAGAGTCACAGGGCTGCTTGCATGGAGCTCGTCAGCATGACCTGCGCCGAGGTGTTCGACATCATCCCATCCTCGTGGGACATGTGCTTAGACTTCGTCTGGAAAGTTGTGGAGACAGATAAAGCGACTGCCTTTGCTGGCACGGTCTACGAGCATATATCCAAGTACGGCAACGTCTCCGACATGCTGGCCAAGGTTCGCATCTCGACCTTCGCCCACTGCCTGAAGTCGCTGGGCACGCAGCGCTTCAACTGCCGGGACCCTACTTCGCACGAGATCAAGCAGCTCGTGTACTTGCCAGACATCGTCGCACAGATCACCGACCAGCTCTACAGTGACTGCGACTGGACGAAGAGTTCTGTCAGGGAGAGTGGGCCGACAGTGTTCCAGCAGTCCATTGCGAGGAGCTCGGCCACAGAGGTCGAGTTCTTCACGGACTGCTACACCAAGGCCTTCGACATGTGGGAGTTCTGCGTGGCCAATCATGGCTATGGCTTTCGCGACAAGCGCAGGCTGAACATAGGACTGAAGCCCACCTGCTCCTGCCCATTCAAATTTCGGATACATGTTTCAGGGAGGCTCTCCCCGATTGCTTTCGTTTTCTCATGCCTTTGATTTGGGGGCAGTTTGCTTCTCGTGAGGTTGTTCGGAGGGCTTGGGGTCTGTTTGTGAGTTACTCGTAGTATCTGGGATGCCCCTGGATGCCGTAGGACTGTCCCCGAAGAGCTCGTGGTGCCCAGGGGATGGGGGATGTATGGGGTCTATGGGCCGTAGACTCTATGGCCCATATACCCCTAGATATCACAGGCCCCTCATGGGCTGTAGGGGGCGGGGTAGTGGGCAGGAGTAGGCTTCAGTCCTGTTGCAGGGTATTCCAGGCCGAGCTCGAGA